TGTCAACAAGAAACACCAAATTTAAGGGATAGCAAACAACATTATCTTGGACTCAAAGAGGAAAACCTGGACTGAACAATTCCCTGTTCTATTTCTGGAATTTTATCTCCCAGTTTTGTCATTTTTATATTGTTATGTTATTTTTCTCAGCACACGGGAAGGTCCTGTGAGGATGACCCAGTGCAGACCCTGTAAAATGTGAGAATACAGAGAAAAATCATAAAATTAAAAAAAAAAAAAAAAAAAGAAATAAAACTTTATTTTTTTTAATCACAAAAGAGAGTCAGAGGTTGTGCAGCCTCAGTCCAGCCATGTTTTTGCTTAAAGTGCCTCACTCCAAAGCCTGTCCAAATGGCTGGAGAGAAAATGGTATATTATGGCTGTAGCCACCCAACATACAGTCTCACAGGCAAAGCAAGAGAAGACAAAGTGAAAAGAAAAAAAAAAAAAAAAAAAAAAAAAAAAAAAAAAAAAAAAAAAAAAAAAAAAAAAAAGGATTGTGCTGAGTTCCTGGGCTTGGAAGAGCAGCCAGACCTTCCAGATCTGGTTTATCTCCCCTCCCCCACTTCCCAGCCCCAGCAGCACCAGAATTTGGTTTCGGGGACAGTTAAGTTCATTTCATGCCTTGTTTTGCCAAAATCCAGTATTGGAGTCAAGGATGTGCAGGAGAGGGGTGAAGGTGGAGATTTAACCCCTCCAGGTGTTCCCTCCAACTGAAGTGCTGCTTCCTGCACCAGGAATGAACTGTGGGAAAATCAGGATCTGTTTCTGCCTGGGGAGGACCAAGACTGGASCAGGAGACCTAATTAAAGCTGATTGAGTTAATTCCCACTCCGTTCTCCTCCACTTTGGCAAATCCAGCCTTCASGAGTCAAAGATCACAACAAAATCTTGAGAAAGAGCAGAAGAGATTACACAGAATGAGCTCATTCACCTCTGAGTGACCCTGGGAAGGGTTTGGAGACTTCCTCATTGTCCCACCCTGGCAGGAAAATCCCAGCCCTGTTTCCAAGAGGAGAGGCAGCCTGAATGACACCCACCCACCCGGACACACCTGGCATTTTTTTGGGAAGGCATCAGATGTCTGCCTCCTCCACCACAGGACAATCCCAGGGAACCTCTGGAAGCTCCTACAGTCTGCAGCAGCTTCACATCACTTGGAAAAGTGACTTTTTACACTCAYAGATCAYTGGGATGAGGGGGGGAATGGCYTCCCACTGCTAGAGGGCAGGGTTAGATGRGATATTGGGAAAGAATTCCACCCTGGGAGAGTGGGGAGGCCTTGGAATGGGATTCCCAGAGAAGCTCTGGCTGCCCAATCCCTGGAAGTGTCCCAGTCCAGGTTGGATGGGACTCAGAGCAATCCCCTCCATGGCAAGGGGATTGAATTGCAAGATTTTGAAGGTCCTTTCCAACACAAACCATTCCATGATTCCCTGATCTCTGTCTTTCCAGGCTCACAGCACCAAAAGGAATTTAGGAGCCTCCCTTGCAGCTGGGAGTGCCTTGATCCCAAGGCTTACTCCTGAGCCAAGCCAATCAATCATAATTGCAACTTAATCCCATCTTGGATTAAGAATATTAACTAAGTAATTTTTTGGGATTTCTCATGCTCCAGCTTGCACTGGCTCAGGACTAAGTTCTGGAGAAGCCAATCTCAGAGTTTGGGATAACTCAGCTGAGTTTTACCTGATTCTTTATTTTGTTTTGAATAACAGAGGTGCCCACTGGCCAAAAATAGGGACGGGAAGAGCCAGGCTGGATGTTATCCACTCCTTCCCAGTAGGAGACCCAGGATGTGCAGCCATCCTCATCCCACAGGTATCAGCTCTCCTGCACAGGGCACAATCCTGCATTAGACAATTTATCCCATTTCTCCCAGGTTTCCTTTCCTTGAAGCCATTTTCCTTGGCATCAGAACCTCCAAACACGTAGCACAGGATAATGGCTCTCCAATTCAGGCTGATTTTCTAAGCCTGGCTGATGGGAAGGGATAGAAAATCCAGGGAGCTCCTTCAGCACGTTTTATTTTTGCCAAACCACAGCCACGCTCATGTCTCCCACTAAAAAAGACTGGAAAAAGAAACACCTCCATTCATGGACTTCAGAATCTGAATAACATCAGACAGCCTCAAGTGGTCCTCCCCTTTCCTCTCAAGCCGACAAAACCTTGCCTTGAAAGTTTCTGTTCTATATTTCCCGCTTTTTCCTCCTCATTTTTGCAATGTCAGGAAAACCCCTCTGGACACCCTTCACCTTTCTCTTCCTCAAGTCCCCAAGGGAGTTTCCTCACTTTTCACAAGTCAGCCGGGCTGCAGTTGGTTTTTGTTTTCCTTTCATCCCATCACTCCAGGGATTGGATGCGAGGGAGAAGCAGCAAAYGCTCCATCACCTTCCCTTTCCGCACCGATTAAGATAAATCAGCCAAAATTCCATCTCTCCAGAAGTTTGAAAGCCCCATCATTAGGCAGATGAAAGAGCAGCCAAGCAGAGMTGATGAGTTSCCTTCCCCAAAGCRGCTGAGTCACYRTTCCTGGAGGGATTWAAAAAACATGGAAATGTGGCAYTTGGGGAACATTGTCATGGGRTGAACACAACAATTAACAGCTGCACTTGATTAACATAAAGGGCTCTTCCAACCTAAATGATTCCATGATTTAGATCACCTGATGGGCCAGGGAAGGGAGGAGCCCAGCAAACCCAAAAATTCAGGAATTGGCTCTGGAAAACTGGAGGCTGATGAGTTTTTTCATCCAGGAGGATCAATAATCTGGTTGGGACACAGAGCAAGAGCCTGACTCATYCTCAGCGTGGGAAGGTTTGTGATGTGCACAGCTCTGGCCACTGAATTTATATTCCCAAATCTCCAGAAGGCTGATGCAGAAGGAAAAATCAGGGATGGATCTCAACGGAGTTTCCAGGTGCTTGAACAATTTCTRTGGGAAGAGGAATTGTTTGTACAGCCCCAACCAGCCTTGGATTGGGGGCAGCAGAGGCACATCCAGCTCTGGGCTCATCGGTACATGGGTGTGGAGCTGCTGGAGTGAGTCCAGAGGAGGCCACAGAGATGCCTCAAGGGCCAGAGCCAGGCTGGAAGAGCTGGGATTATCCAGTCTGGAGAAGAGAAGGGTTCAGGGAAACCTCAGAGCCCCTTCTAGTTCCTAAAGGGGCTCCAGGAGAGCTGGAGAGGGACTAGGGACAAGGGATGGAGGAACAGGACACAGGGAATGGCTTCCCACTGCCAGAGTGAAGGGATAGATGGGATATTGGGAAGGAATTCTTTCCTTTAAGGGTGGTGAGGCCCTGGAACATAATTCCCAAAGAATCTGTGGCTGCCCCATCCCTGGAAGTGTCCAAGGCCAGGCTGGATGGGGCTTGGAGCAACCTGGGATAGGGGAAGGTGTCCCTGCCCATGGCAGGCCCATGGCAGGAATGGGATGATCTTGAAACCATTCCATCATTCTTTAAGTTCAGAGTCCCAGATTTGGGGATAAATGACCCCATGGGACAGGACAGGCTGAGGGAGGAGGGAGTTGCTGTCTTTAAAAGGGGACAGTTATAGAGCTGATATCCAAGGATTATCTGGCTCTGCCCAGAAAAAGGACAAGCAGCTGGGTCTAAGATGCATCAAGGGAAATTCCAACCAGATCTAAGGAAGGAAAAGCTYTGCCAGGGCAGTGATTCATCTCTAAACAGTGACCCTGAAATGTGGTGGAGGAATCTCCCTCTGTGGAAACACTGATATTAAATTGGAGAAAACTCTGACCAACCCAGCCAAAGCTGACCCTTCTTAGAGGAGAAGGTTGAACTCAAACCCTCCAGAGGCCATTCCAAGCCAGGATTTCTGCGAAGAGTCTGGGCAGGAGCAGCAAATGCCAAAGGAAGGCAAGAGGAACCTCTCACCACCTCCTCCCACYCCTGAATTTATCTTCTACAACTTCTCTATCACTGCTGCCCAGGGCCATCAGTACAGGACATCNTTTGTTTGTTTGTTTTTGTTATTTATTTAAAGCTCAGTCATGTAACTGAACCAGCCCTAAGCTCATCCAGCACCAGCCTGAGCAGTCAACTTTGTGCCTGGTAGATTTTGGGTGAGGTTKCCTCCCACCCACAGTGAACAAAAGGCTTTTATGAAAAGCAAATCTGGCAGCTGAGAAGTCACAAGGGAAGGTGTCACTTCTGATTTTGTCACAAACCACAACTTCCCTTTTTTAAATAAAAAAAAAAGGAAGTCATCACAATGGAAAAATTATAAACTTTTAACTTAGAATTTCATCAAATGCTGTCATTATCTTGCTTTGGGATTACCAAAAAGCCTCAAACACAGGTTTTCCTCCGCCTACAACATCATAGAAAATTGAAAAAGATTTTTAGGATCACCAAATCCAACCACCAACCCAGCACCACCCCATTTACCACTAAGCCATGTCCCCAAGTGCCATTTCCACAGAGTTTTTGAGCAGTTCCAGGGAAGGAGGCTTCAGAAAACAATTGGAAAAACAGAGTTGAAACCACGCCTGGAATTGCCAGAGTGAGGTGGGTTCATCCGAGCATACCAGCATTGCTTGGAGCCATCAAATAACCCAGAATTATTGGGATGGGAGAGGGATCCTACTCTCTGGGATGGGAACATGATCCTGCTCCACAGGGTCCTGCTGGAGAACCCCCATCAGACTGAAATTTAGGCCATGGGAAGGTCTATRGAATACAGCCAGAAATGCTTGGAGGACTCCAGAAAAAAAAATAGGGAGAGGATAGACAGGAACATATTTGGGACAGCACCAACCCAGACTTTCTGGAATTACTCCCTGATTTTATAGGATCCCAGAATGGTTTGGGTTGAAAGAAACCCTAAAGCTCATCCATGGGCAGGGACACCTTCCCCTACCCCCGRGTGCTCCAAATCCCATCCAACCTGGCCTTGGACATTTCCAGGGATGGAACATCCMGAACCACACCTGGGACAAGTTGCAAAAAGCCTCCAGTCATGGATACTTGGAAAATTCACTCCCAGTTTTAATTAAATGCATTCCGAGCCCTCCATTTCCAAYCAAAACAGCAACAGTTTCAATACAAGAACAAGTGGAAATGAACACATGGGAAGCACCAGGAGCTTTGGAATTCAGCACCCTGAAGTGCCAGGTTTTGCTGCTCATACAACCTGGGATTCACTGGGATGTGGGAATGCTGCCAGGAATGTGCTGATATTACCTTTTTCTGGGGTGTGGAAAGCAGCCAATCAAGCACCAAACACAACCATTTTATGCTGTTGATTCCTGCCTGCTCCATTCCCAGCTGGAGCAAGGATGATGCCAAAGGTGTCATCCCAACACAGGAGCAGCTCCAGGAATCCTGGTCCCATTYCCCACCACACATCCCACAGAGCTTGGCCCAGTATCATACCCACTTCTTGCCTATTTTCCAGGAAATTCCCTGTTTCCTAAATCAGTGGCTGGACAATACAGCTCCTGGTTTTGGATACAGGAGCTGAGCCAGAGCCAAGTGAAGAAAACACAGGAATAAACATGGCCCTGAGTGAGATCCCTCCCAGAACAAAATTTAACCACCCGAGGGTGCTGAAAACACACTTTGCTCACAAAAAGGTGAATTTGAACACCCCTGTAATRTGAAACTGCTTTTAAATCCAAAATCTTCCCTTCCACCTTCCCCTGTCGTGATACAAATTCCCTCCCMCGTTTTCCCATTTTATGTCCCTGTCATTGCACAACTTTCTCCTTTCCTGGAGGTGAAAGGGCACAAAGTCCCCTGAAATGGAAAACCTGAGTTTTTTTCCATTTCTCTCAGTTAATCCCTAATCCAATCTCAGGTTTTATATTGCAATTCCCTCTTTTCCTGCCGTCACCACCTCATGTTTCCCCATCTATCCCATTCAGAGTTGGGAAAGGGCAACAGAGCTCCACTACCCCAAGAAGACTGGATTAGACCTGATTTTATTGATCAGTACAATTAGGCTCTTATTTAATCTCCTTCCAAAACTCCAGAGGAAGAAAGAAAAAAAAACCCAAGTACTCAGGAGCTCTGAGTTCCTGAGAGTCACTGAGTTCCCAAAGTCACTGCAGACAGRGGGAGTGTCACAACCAGCAATATCTATTTTAACTGGAAATCCAAGTGTTTGCTTTYCCATCAAAAAAAGAAAAAAAAGACACCAAACTCAGACAACTCTCAGCCCCTATCAGCAGAGAGTTTCTAAAATAGCTTTCCAACAGCACCCAACGAGCAGGATTTCAGATTTAACATGGAAGGCACCAGCTCAGAATTCAAAGTCCTCGCCAGCCATGTCGATAGCCCAGGCAAACTTCTCCCTCTGGGTCTTGTTGTAGATCTTCTCGATGGGAATCCCGAATTTCTTGCACCTGTGCAGACCACAAGACACCAGTGGGGACCAGTTACCCAGCAGTGTCCTCTCCATTCTGTCCCTGGAAGTGCCCAAGGCCAGGTTGGACAGGGCTTAGAGCAACCTGGGATGGTGGAAGGTGTCCCTGCTCATGGAACAACACAAACTTCAAGGTCTTTTCCAACCCCAAACTATTCGATGATTTCCCACCCAAGCCTTACCAAGCCACACTAATCCTGGGATCCAGGTAATTCAGCTTGGATGTGCCCAGAGCTATTTGYTTGTTCTCCTCCTTATCTGTGGCCTGGACATTCAGGTTTGCCAGCTGCTCTTCCAGCCGCTTCAACAGCTTCTTCTTCTTCTCAATGCTCCTGAGGGCAGAGGAGGAACATCACAATGTCCTAAAATCCAGAAACATCCTGAAATGGCAAAGATGCCATCCAGGATTAACCCATTTCCCAAGGATTTGGACCTGATACAATTATTTTTAAAAAAATATATATAAAAAAGAAAAAAACCTGTTATTTCCACCACCAAAGATAGAAAAACAAAATCCAGCATCCAGAGAAAGCCCTTGGAACAGTTTACCAGAGAAATTGTGTTTGTCCCACCCCTGGAAGTGTCSAAGGCCAGGTTGGCAAAGGTTTGGAGCAACCTGGGATWGTAGGAGGTGTCCCCCTGAAGGGAACCATCCACAAGATCTTATCCATCTTCCAAACTTTCATGGGACAAAAAGGTCCCAATCCCAAACACAAGCATTTCTGCTCTGATGGGGTGTTTGGGCCACACCATCCCCATTCCTGGGCCCTCTGGATCCCTCTGCATGAGAGGATTCCAAGGAAGAGCCACTCACGCTTCTGCTTTGGCRTCTTTTGTGTCTTCAAACTCATCTTCAGCTTTTTTCAGTTCTTCCTGGGCTTTCTCTATTTGTTTCTTCTTGGCATCGATCTGTCARGGTGAAAATAAAGTCAGACAACACATCCAAACTCCCTGAAGGTTTCAGCTTCCTCCCTCTTTTCCTTCCCACACATTCCTCAGTTTCTTCCCAGCCCTATTTCCTAACTTGTTCCTGCAGCATTTTCTGGGCTCAAGTGGTTTTTTTAGCATTTTCCAAAATATCTTCAGAGCCCCAATGCCACAAACACCTGGAGCTCCTAAATCTCTTCATCTTCTGCACCTGACTAAAACTGAAGGACTTGTGGCAGCACCAGAGCCCTCAGAAAGGTCCCAGTCCATCAATTTTGTGCAAACAAAAGCTGAGGACAACTAAAAATGGTAATTTGAGGTATTTTCAAGCTGCTCTTCCTGCAAATAGACAGGAAAAGCAATTTCCTTGATGTTGATCCAACTGTACCAGAGCTGCCATCACAAAATGCCCCCAGCTTGGTTTGAAGACACCGAGTGATGAAAAAAAGGCCCAAAACCATAAAAACACACCCAATATTCTGTTCCACGTGTGATTTCTCCAGGATCTGAGCTCACCACATCGCTCTCCACCCCTGGGTCTGCACTGATTAAAATCCACTATTCCCTGATGTGCTTGACCAAGGTGATTTCTTCAGGCATCACCCCAGCCCAAAAATAAAATTTAGAGGCCAGATTAKATCTGGGATGTCTCAGCTGGGTCTGTCTCACCTTTTCCTGGAGGACTTGCATGGACTTGGTAAAGGTTTTTGGCACAGATCTCTGATGGTTGCACAGGATGGCCACAGCTCGGTTGGCTCGGTTGTAGGACAGGAGCTTTCCTGCAACGTTGTCTTCAGCTGGAAAGAAGTCAAAGCATCACTCTGTCTCCATTCCAGGGGTTGGGAAAAGCAGGGAATACAGCAGAAGGAAAGGAAAACAAGTTGCTGTTGCATTCTCTCTCCAGGGAGAGCAATAATGGTTGTGGAAATTGGGGAAAGACAATTGAGCACCACAATTCAATGATGTGACTCATCCCTCACGTAACCAAGGAGGCAAAAATAGTGTAACCAACCAGCAACACATGGAAAAAAAGGAAAAATATTCCCATCCTGGCCATCAGTTAACTCAGAGAATCTCCGAGTTCACCATTTCTCACTTACCAACATTCCTCACTTACCAACATTCCCAACCTGCTGCTCGCCCCTGTAAGTTACTCCCACCCTATTCCATGGAGCATCACATGGCCAGGTGGGACATGGGCAGTTTTAGGGACCCCAAAGCAATGGATGGAYATTCCTGAGCCCTTTGATCCCACAGTGCAGCCGATGCCACCCCARGTGACACCACAACCACTGGAACTCACGGTTGGTGAGGGCCTTGAGCTGCTCCTGCAGGGTGATGGAAGCGTTGTAGGTCCTGAAGACTTTGGCCGTCAAACCATCCATGAGGTGCTGGAGGTGTTTGTTCAGGAAGGTCGGCTGGAGGAGGGAAAACAGGGAAAAGTGTGGGGAAAGTCACAGCAGRAATTCTGGTGGGTGGACAAGGTGGAAAGGCTTCAAACTGGCAAAGGGTTTGCTGGGTGTTGAGGCCTTGGAATGGAATTCCCAGAGAAGCTGTGGCTGTTCCATCCCTGGAATTGTTCAAGGACAGGTTGGATGGAGCTTGGAGCAGTCTAGGATAGTGGAAGGTGTCCCTGAACATGGCAGGGATGTAGAACTTGACAGTCTTTAAAGGTGTCTTCCAACCCAAACCATTCCATRATTCCATGAACAAGAAGGAATAGAACAAGCAGAAACCAGAACAAATCTTTTTTTCAAACCATATTCTGCCTAAGCAGCCAAAATTAGGCATTTAAAAAAATTAAATTTTTTTAAATTTAAAAAAAATAGACCTGCAACCTATAGGTCTACGTGTTGGGTCAGGCCATCATCTACCCAAAACTGGCATAAATTCTGCTTAAATCCACAAAAAAAAATCTCATTGAAAGTCAACCTTTTCTGCCCATCTATGTCCAAGAGGCTGTTGGCATTTAGGGACATGGTTTAGTGGTGGAGCTGGCTGTGGTGGGTTAATGCTTCTATTTGATGATCTTTGAGGTCTTTTACAACCTTAACAATTCCTGATCTCTCATGCAATATCACATCCCTGTCCTACAGAGCACATGGGGCTGCTCACAGATCCCATATCCCATCTTGAGGAAGATGAGGAGGCTTGTCCAGGAGGGAAGGCAACACAGCCCTCCAGCAACCCCTCCCAYTTGAGTGGAGCCCYGATGAGGCGCTAAAGCWTTAAAAAGCTGAGGTTTGGTACCTYCAGTAATTCCCCRAAYATGGACASACYTTCCCAGGCTAAAGAAGCCCAAGTGGATGAGYTGGAGGAGGGAAGGAGCAGGAATTCACCTCCTCAGCTGGRACACAGGGAAGCAGAGATGCYCCAGTGCAGAGAGCAGCTRGAAAACCTCCCAGCCCCACCACASRRTGTTCWAAAGTGRCAGYSGTGTCCCCAGAGAGCAGCACAGAAAACAGGTGAAGGGAYGGCCACCAAAGGTGGCCAAGGGTGYCATGGTTTGGCTTTTCCCCCCTCAGAGTCCTTAGTAGTGTTTGAAAAGTTTCAAGGTGCCAACTCACAGTGAGCTGGTCAAAGAGGTCATCGCTGGGGTCCTTGTTCTTCATGAACAGCCGCAGGTTCTTGAACACCTGGAGAGGGCGAAAGGCCAGCCTGGAACAAACTGCTCCCAGACATCTCCCTCATCTCTCTCCTCCTCCTGATGGACTGTGGTTCAGCCTCATGTTGGCACATCCCACCAACCTTCAAGGTGTCACTGGGTGCCTTGCACAATCTTTCCAATCTCAGACATTCCAGTTTCCCCAAAAACACCATTACAATCACCTTTCCCATGGGCAAAGGAAAATAATTTTATATTAATGGAGACATTTCAACTCCTGACGCCCACCAGACAACTGAGGATGCTCCAGCAAGAGGTGGGGCGTCTCCCCCATGATTCAGGGTGTAGAACAACCTTGGAAGTTCTATCCCAAAATTTCTCCCGTTCTCCAGGGTTAGAACACAGGAAGCATCCAAAACCTCGGCAACAGGTTTTGGATGCAAATTYGGGACTGGGGAACCTTGAGTGAACCCAGAACACCAAGCACGGGCTCCACCCCTGCCCCACTCACTGGTTTCTCCACGGACACTTTGTTGTAGTAACGGATGGAGTCTTTCCCAAGGAAGTCAAACTCCACCACGTGCTCCTGCCCATCGAGCTCAGGGTGCAGCTGGATGTGCTCCACTCGCAGAGAGCAGCAGCCAACTGTGTCCGCAGTCTCCCCTTCCTCCTTCTCATACCCAGCTCGCAGGGCCAGCTGGAAGAAAGCAAAGAGTCACCCATCCCATCCCATCCCACCTCAATTCCTTTTTCCTAGGTTGTTAAAATGGATGGGGACTGGAGAAGGTCAGATCATCTCCATCTGTAGATTCATAGGAGGATTTGGAAGGAACATTCAAGATCACTTGGTTYCAAGCTCCTGCCATGGGCAAGGACACYTTCTSCTAGGGACAACTTCCACTTTCCACATCTCTGGAAATGTTMAAATCCAAGTTGGATGGGTCTTRGAGTYACCAGSTCTAGTGGAAGGTGTCCCYGCCCATAGCAGGGAGTTGGAATGAGATTATCTCAAAAGGTCCCATCCAACCAAACCATTCCAGGATTCCATCATYATCYCTGGATTCCTCAAGGAGCCRCCCTGGGTGGTAGAACCAGAAAACACCAAAAACTACAGGGTGAGGTGGATCAAGGGATAGAATTCCCAACTTCCACATGGATGGGGCAGCTGGGGTGAGGCTGTGGATACCTTATCGATGAAGTAGAGGGCCACTGCTCTTTGCCGCTTCTTCATATCCTTGGATTTCCAGTCMGCTCTGTACTGAGCCCGGATTTTATGGACGACATCCTTTAGGCGCCGAGCTACCTCATATTTCTGCCAGTCCTTCTCACCCTGGAATAGGAAACCAGGATCTTTTCCATTCATGCCCCATTTTTATTGCACCCCTATCAGTCAAACCCAGCTCTGGAAACATCTTCAGCATTTCAATCCTACTCGAATCCCATTTTTTTCTTAGGAAAAATCTGCATAGCAAATACATCAGAGCAGGAACGGCTCATCATGGGTTTCTGTGCCCTCTGCTGGCCATGCTGGCTCTGGATCCTGGCCAAGTCAGGCTGTTCTCCACCAGCCAGAGCATGGCAAGGACCAAGTGGCCAAAGGTGGCYCTTCAGACACCAATGTGGACTGGTACAGTACTTGATCAGTTGTGTCCACCTGGGCAGCATTCCCCCTTTCCTTGAGCTCTGGAATTAGTCTTATATCCCCTTTTTCTTCCAACAGAGTTCAATCCCACCTCTTCCCACCCTTTACTTCCTGGCATAAATGAACTTGGGTCCATATGGATCCTCTCAGCCCCTGCCTGGCTTCCTCCAATAACCTTCCCCCRACACACATGAGGAATGTGGAACAGGATGACTCCACCAGGAGCAACCCATTCCCTGGAATCAGTGGGGTGCTCAATCATTTCTCCTTTCCTTCTCACCACTTCATTTTGTTTATTCCCTTCTCAGAGAAGGACCAAATAAATTTTTTTTTTTTTAAAAAAAGGAGATTTTTGTTGATATTCCACATCTGCTTTCCCAGATTTTTTCACTGGACCAAGGGCACCATTCCAACCTTCAGCTTGGAGCTGGGGTTCAGCATGATGTACTTCAAGGTGTTCTGGATGTTCTCCGTCCACGAGGCCAGCCAGGTGACCGTGTTGTCAAAGCGCACCTCYTTCCACTTGTGACCTTCTGGGGGCACAGGAATCTTGGAATCCCTGTGGGAAGAGTGGGATTAGAGCCCTCAGACCATGAAGAAAGAGGTTTTCAGCAAGCCAAGGATGAGTTCCACACTGTAGCATTACTTTGAGAAAACATGGAATCCACCCAAAACTGCTCTACAATATGGAATCATCAAATTTGGAAAAATCCTCCAAAAGCATCCAATCCAAGCATGAAAAAACACTGCCAGATGACTCTACCACTGCCCTGAGCAGCCTCTTCCAGTGCTTGACCACCCTTTCTGTGGAGAATTYTTCCCTAAAACCCAACCTAAACGTTTTCTGGTACAACTTGGCTCTTCTCCTATTGTTTGTTTTCCAGGAGAAGAGACCAAATCCCACCTGGCTTTACCCTCAGGGAGTTGTAGAGAGCAAGAAAGTTCCCCCTGAGCCTCCTGTTCTCCAGGCTGAGGGAGCCCCCCCACCAGCTCCATCAGCTGCTCCTTCCCACAATCAGGTGTTCATCATCTGAATGCTGGGAAAAACAGGAAAACTTTCTGGACTGGTGGGGAATGTTTTGGAATCAAGGTCTGAATGAGTGGCTTAAAATCAGTCCAGCTCACGTAACTCAGATGGAAAAAACACTAAGGATATGGAAAAAGGGGATTGCAGGAGTTGGAAAAACTTCAGCTCTGAGCAGAGAAGGTGTCCAATTCACCCCAATCCCAAAGGAAACCCCATGAGCTCAGCTCTTCTGAGGACAACCCACCTGCTGCAGTTAATGATGACATCTTCTGGCATGATCCTCTTCTTCAGCATCCCCATTTTGGGGTGCTTCCCACGGCCCCGGAACAGCCCTGGTGGTTCCGTTTTGAAGTTGCCGATCTTCTCCCGATGCCCATCCAGGATGCAGTATCCATATTCCTCCTGGATCTTCTTCGCCTCCTCCTTCAGCTTCTAAAACCAGGACACCACAAAAAAAAATCAAAATTGTTTGGATGAGAAAGGATTTTTAACATTTCAACCAACAATTCTGAATGCTGTCATTCCCTTAGCCACAGTCCTCTGGAGAGGGAAAGACTCCAAAACATCATCCAAGGWTGTATGGGATATGCTGATAAAATCCATCAAGAGGGGGGTTATGGCCCTGGAACCAGAGCTGGATTAAAGAAGTCCAAGCTCAGGGCACAACACCAGCACAGACAACAAGGAAGAGCCAAAATATCCCAAAGCTGGAATCAAAACACGTCCTAGGAACCACTCCTCACCTGCTTCTCCTCCTTGGAAAGCGCTTTCCGGGCCTCACTTTGGTCCACAAAATACTTGTGGATCTCTGTGAAGTCACATTTTTCCAGTTCCTGGATTATCTCCTGCTCCTCTGAGGTCATTTCCTGGGAAAAAGATGAGAGGAGGCTGGATAAAGCCAGGAAGTAAAACAAATTCCACATGGAACTGCTGCTTGGGCCTTCCCAGAAAAGTGAATAGAGACCCACATTGCAGTTGTTTGGAAAAAAAGAGCAACCAGATGTGGGGTGGAAGAACCTAATATGGAAAACAAATCCCTAAATTCAGCTGCAGGGACAGCACCAAAAGTATTTGGGAGATGTAAATATTCCCTAGAAGGATTTTTTTGGGATCAGGAAGTCATTCCTTCAGTGGGACACGTGTCCCAAACTGGTTTTGGAGCTGTTTCCAAATGCTCCACCTCCTTCCACCACTAAAACTCAGAAGGAGCAAATCCCAGCCCAAACCCCCAACAAACATGGAAATAAATCAGGATTTAGAATTCCAGAATTAAAAATAAGGAACAAATCCCACCCCCCTTCCCTCCATCCCACACCGCAGCCTGGGGACAATGGGTTTCACAGATATCAAGGAGCCATCCCAGGCATGTACCTTCCTCCAATCATGGAAAAAGTTGTTCTGGAAGATCTCCTTGGTTGTGTACTCATGATTCAACATTTTCGCATAAAACGTGGCAATTTCCTCCGTGGCCAGGCTCAGCTTCAGAGGTTTTCCTGGGAAAAGAGAGGCAGGGACACCTTCCACTGGACCAGTTTGGCTCCAAGCCCTGTCCAACCCTGGACACCTCCAGGGGATGGGACAGAATCTTGGATCACGTCTTAGATTTCCTAAGGATCTTGGATAATTTCTCAGAGGTGGCAAAGCCACCGTCCTCTCCTCAGCTCTTGGGCTGCAGAAATGCAACAAAACCAGGGAATATCTTGGCTCATCCTAGGAATTCCTTGAAATAGCCTTTTTTTTTTTTTTTTTTTTTTTTTTTTTTTAAGGAAAAAGCACCTTGCAGAGATGCAGGGAATGCTTGAATTCTACCTGAACCACTGGATTTTGGGATTTTTTTGGACTACAGGGAATGGTGGATCACAGCCTTGGAGCAGCCCCATAACAACCTACACACATTAGCTCATCCATGGGCCCTTCCCACCTGGGGTTGACTTCTTCCACAAATACTTTTCCATCCAGGAATGGTGACATTTTTCAGGAAACAAGTCAACATCAAAGATCCCAAAGTCCAAAGCCACCAGCCCAAGGTCCACGCAACACTCAGATGGTTCTCCAACAAATTTGAGGTCACAGAGAAGGGCCAAACATTGCCAAAACTCCTCCTTGTGGAGCTAAAATCTCTGACAGTTCCAGGGATGTCCCAGCAGTGCCCTCTGGTGCTGCCAGTCACCTCCTTTCCCCAAACTGGCATTTTTCCTACTGTAAAAAACGCTACAGAAAGCCCCAGGGAACTAAGGATCACCAAGATCCCATGGGAAGGGGTCCCCTCSCATCATCCCTTGGCCAAGCCCCAAATTCCTCATTGTTTCCTTCCCTTGATCCATCAGAAATGAGTTCAGGGATGAAGCTGAGGGCAGGGAATGGCAGGAAACCCAGCAGGAAAACAAGGARGTGGCAAAAGCCTGGATCTGTCCTGCCTGTGACACCCTGAGCTGCTCTGAGGGGATGGAAGGTGACCTTGGGGACATCAGGAGTAGCTCAGCCAAATCCATCAACCTCTTGGAAGAGATGTGTCAGTCACTGAGGCCATGGGTCAGTAAAATCCTGCTTTTCTGGCTTCTCAGAAAAATATGGATGAGCTGACAAAGCTCAAACCCAAAATGCAGCTTAATGAGAAAAAAAAACAGGTCTGGGGAAAAAAAGACATCAGTTCCCCAAAAACCCCATAACTCCAACCACATTTTAGATCTTACAGCTTCAACCCATGGCTTTTCCAAYGGGATATTCCTCTTCCATTAGAGGACACCACCCCAAGCCCCAGATCCCCCAAGATGTACCATCGTAATAAAACCGCACATCCTCGGGCAGGGGCTCGTAGAGGGGGGCAAAGTAGGGCCCTCGGTGCTCCAGYTGCATCCATTTGACTCCACCTTCCTTCTTCTTCTCTTCCCACCTGGAACAGACACACAGGGATCCATGAGAACATCCCAAATCCACAATCTGGTGCCTTCAGCCATGGTCGTGCTGGGGAGATGCTCTGAGTGGTGACAGCCGGCACAAATTCCAGGTGAAATCCCATTTTCACTGCCACTGCCTCAGTTTCCCTGCTCTTCAAAACAAGGAAAAATGGAATGGGATCTAGGGGAAAGTGTCTTGAGGAAGGGGATGTTTGGTGTGGTGACATGGAGAGTGAAGGGATCCTAAAAGCCACCTCATTCCAATCCCTTTCCATAGGCAGGGACAGCTTTCCCTAATCCAGAATGCTCCAAACCCCATTCAATCCAAGGAATAGTTCCAAGAATGGGGCAGCCACAGCTTTTCTGGAAAACCTGTCCCCTCATGAATATTTATAATTCTGATTTTAATGCAAATAAGATCTTAATGCATCCCTCCAAGCTACAGCAAACTGGATTTTAAAGTCACCGCAAGTTTTAACTGTGAAGATTTTAAAAAAACAAAACAACGAAAATTCCAATAAAATTAAATTTGAAATTAATATTAATAATAACGTCAAAAAATCCAACCGGAAAATCAGGAGCAGAACTTTAAAAAAGGGGGAAAAACCGCAGGTGAGGGGCAGAGGAAGAGCTCTGGTGACAGGAGCGGACAGGAAGGGATCTGTGTCCGCAGCTCAGGTTGGCACTGGTCCCTTGATCCCAGCATCTCCGGGGAAAAAAAAAATTTAAAAAACAAGGATTTCTGGGAAAACGCAGCGAGATTCCACACGGAGACAGCAAAATTCCTGTTTCTCCCTCGGCGGTGCCCCGGAAGTATTTATGATTTTTTCCTCCCCGTAGGAAGCGGAGTGGAATAAATCCAYGGCATCCAAAAGTGCATTTTGCCACAAAAAAAGAGGAAATAAAATATTCAAGGAATCTGAGGTGAAAGCACCGGGGAACGGCAGCGCCAGGATAATTTTGTGACGCTGCCGGTGCTTCGTCTCTCCTGCCAAAGTTCTGGGATCCCAAATCCCGGCAGAGCATCCCCACGCTCACCTTCCACAGCCCCCTGAGCGCATCCCGAGGCTAAGGAGGGGATGGGAATGGGAGCCTCATGGGAAATGTAGTTCTAATGTTGTTTTTGGATGAAATTCCTACGTACCGGCCTCTCTCCTCCGTGCCAGGATCCAGCCGTTCCAAACAAGGCATTAATTAGGGAGAAAAAAAAAAAAAAAAATCTAAAACCCCCTTTTCACGTCACGCCGGATCCTTCAGGAGCCGCCTGCAAGCTCCAGGTATCCATGAATACCCCTGTCTGGGATAACAGTTCCTCGCAGATCAGCGTTTGCCACGGGCTCCCAAAAACTCATCCCAAAATTCTTCCTGCTCTGTCCCAGATCTTGGGGAGCTCTGGGAGAGAGCGACACCAAGCGGTGACTTCCAAAGTTAAACTTCCAAAAATTATCCTCCATCCACATTCTGCATCCTTTCCTATAAAACWCCTGCCTGGATCATCCCAAAACTGCTGGAGAAGGAAGTGGGGAAGGAATTCAGCCACTTTAAAGTTCTCTGATAGAGGTGCTGCTGTCTTGGAAGGTGTTTTAACATTATTTTTATTATTATCGTTATTATTATCAATATTGAGACTATTATTTCTATAATTATTATTTCTATCATAATTATTATTATTTCTATCATAATTATTATGATTATCTCCTTCCAATAATTATAAGCATCTCCCTTCCCAGGATGGACACCATGAAAATCATTTGAGGAGAAATAAAAATGATAAATAATTATTTTTAAAAAATAATTGTGATACAAGACCTGCTGTGCATTCAAGACCTCCCCTTACCTCTCTCCCATTTCTAAGAGTGGCGAGTTCAAGGTTCAAGGAAATTCAGGACAAGAGCAAAAAAAAGAGGAATAAAATGGAATTTCCACCGGTTTGCTGCACAAAAGAAAATTAAAATCCCAATCCCAGGGTTAGAGCTGCCAAAGGCACACAGGAATTATACCATTTCCATTTGTTTTCTGTCTCTTTTTCTTCCTCCTTCTGTTTTTCAGCCTTTTTCTTCTTCTTTTCTTCCTTTTTCTTTYCTTCTCYTTCCTTAGATTTCCCAGTTTTCCCTGGAGTTTCCTCCTCTTCAATCTCCTCTTTTGTTTCTGCCTTTGCCTTTTTCTTCTTGTTTTTCTGCTTTTTCTCTTTCCCTGGCTCATCTCCCTTTCCTTCATCCTCCTCCTTCACCCCCTGCCCCATCCCTGCACTCAGAGTCTCTCCCAATCCCAATCCTTCCTCACCTCTCTCATTCACCTCTTCCTCCTCCTTTATTCCTTTCCCATCTCCACTTCCCTTTCCCACTCTCTCTCCCTCTTCCACTTCACCTCCCACTCCTTTCTCTCCTTCCTCTTCCTCCTTCTCCATCTCTTGCTCCTCTTCCAGCAATTTTTCCTTCTTTATTTTCCTCTTCTCCACCTTTTCCACCCCTTTCCTTTGCTTCTTTGCCTTCCCCTTTTCCCATTTTTTATTCCCATCACCCTGTCCCTGGTTGCTGCTGCTTCTCCCTCTTTTGGCTCTTCCCTGTCCCCCTTCCCAATTCCTGCCCTCACCACCCTCCTCCTCCATTCCATCCATCAAATCCTCTGATTTATCCTTCTTCTCTCTTTTTCTCTTCAATCCCTTTTCCTGCTTATTTTCCTCTGGTTTCTTCCCACTTTTTCTCTTCAATCCCTTTTCCTGCTTATTTTCCTCTGGTTTCTTCCCACTTTTTCTCTTCAATCCCTTTTCCTGCTTCTTTTCTTCTTGTTTCTTCCCTCTTTTTCTCTTCAACCCCTTTTCCTGCTTCTTTTCTTCTTGTTTCTTCTCTCTTTTTCTTTTGGAGCCTTGGGCATCACCTTCCTGCTGTGGGATAGAGGGATCCAGCTCCTTCTCCTCACTCTCCCTCACATCTGTCAGCCCCACATCCATCCCCAAAGGATTTCCAAAAGGCAATGCAATGCCTTCCCTTGTCTTTGGGACCTGTGGGAAGAAGGAATAAGGGAAGAAATGCTGGGAAAGGAGAGAGGTTATCCCAAATCCCAAATAAATGCAGGATTAGGTCCAAGGAGTGAAAATCCCCCCCCAGTTTTCCTACCMCAATTCCATCCTGGKTGTYCAAGAGCTKCTYTCCCACTGCTGGTGYCSCTCYCTGGGATTTGTCCTGGGACCTACAAGGATATCACAGCCATTYCTCACCACCAGCATTCCCTTCTTCCATCCCAAATTAGGGAATTGCTCCCAAACAAGCCCTCACTTCCCTCTAATTATGGCACCACCACAGATGGAGATATCCCAAAGCAGAAGGGAACGACCCCAAGCTGGATTTTATGGGATGAGGAAGCTCAAAAGAGCAGGACCACGAGGCCTCSAGGCCAAATAGGGGATGTTCCCAAGGAAATATTCCCAGAGAAACCTTTTGGGGAAAAGGTTTGGCCCCACCAACAGCACAAAAGATGGGATCAGGGTGATTATCATAGACACAGGGGAAAAGGAGGTGGATGGGACACAATTCCTGGGAATGTGAGATRATTCCAGTGGGAAATGGGTCAGGAAGAACCGGGAAACAGCCTCATCAATCCAACAGGACAAGGAGAGTCCAGATCCATGTGGGTGAGGAAYCCAGGAATGTTTCCCTGCTCAGCAGGCGAATTTTCAGGAATTTGGTGGGATTTGCAAACATTATAAAACACCACTCTGGCCCTATAAATTATCCCAAGGATTCYCCAAGCCAGGCAAGAGGTTGGGATGCTCATCTTGGAGTTGTTCGTATTCCAGAAAAATCAAGGCAAAATAAGGATAAGGGAAGAGAAGCAGAACCTAAACCAAGCTTAGATCTCCTCGGCTGAGCCCACAACTCCACAGGATGGATTCAGGTGGGATATTAGGAAAAAAAATCCCCACTGAAAGGGTGGCCAAGCAGTGGAAGGGACTTTCCAGGTGGAATCACCATCCCTGGAAGAATTCCAAAAGCCTGGAGGTGATGCTTTGGGASCCAGTTTGGTGGTGACCTCATCAATGCTAGGTTAATGGTTGGAATTTATGATCTCYAATGTTTTTTCCAACTTTGAGGACTCCATGAGTTTAACATGAAGGTGTCCCATTCCCACAGGGAAACTCRGGACTTTTCCTTCTGAGTCATTGTCACCTCACAAAGAAATCCTCTGGTGTATCCTAGGTAAGCCTGGAGCTGAGCTCAAGCCATGGATCAGCTTCATTCCCTGCTTTCCCCAACTYCTAGCATCCCTCAGCAGATCCAACCCAAAAAAAAGAGTTGGAAACCCAGTTTCCCTCTCCCAGAATAGTGCTGGCTCTTCCTGGATTTCCAGGCAAGCCCAAAGACAGTAGAGCCCCAATTCTTGTTTTTAACCAAAACATCCCAAAATTTCTGCAACAAAAAGCAGGAACTTTAGCCCTTTTCTATACATTAATTCAGGCCAATATTTAATTCCCAGGTCATGGGACATCAAAGCAACCCAAGAAAACCTTGGAGCTGGCTTGGGATAGAAACAAGTTCCCAAAAAAAAAAAACCAAAACCAGGAGCCGGATGCTTTTTCCACCCCGGAACACGCATTACACAATCCCCACTAAACTCCTTAGGGAAATTTATCCAGTAAAACACGCTCAGCCCCTCCAATCCCGTTGGCAGGGAGCAGATCCGTGACTCAGAAGGCAAAATCCCGCCACCTTTAGGGATCGGCTCCTTCCTCCAAAGGTTTTATTAGAGGCCTCTTAGTGGGGAATTTTTAAGAGGCAGAGAGGATTAACCAGCTTTAGGAATTTTGCTTCTTATCTCTGCCCMGATCTAGAGGGAAAGAACAGCCTTTTCCCAGGATTTGGGAGGGTGTTCCCACTAGGACTTCCCCAAATTTATGGAGGAATGTGCACCTGAGCGATCACACCCTGCTGACTGRGGAGGGTGGATGGGGCTGGAACTTCCCTCTCCACCCTTAAATCTCAGGATTGAGCCTCAAATTCCTCTTGGGATGATTTCAGGAAGTTCTAGAAAATACCGAGATTTGGAGAAGCTGCTCAGGGAAAGCATCAGCGATCCAGGAGGGAAAAACAGGATTGTGCAGCTCCACAGGGAGAAGAAAAAGGACAAAATTCCAGTTCCCTGTGAGGAAAATAATCCCAAAAAATGAACCAACTCACCTGGAAGAGGCTTCCAGCCCCTCTGACGGCCCCTGGGGGAGGTTTGCTTTGGTTTCCTCCTGGAAAATATCAAGGATCTGGGAAAAGGTCCCTGGCACAGGTACCCCAAAGCAGCATCACCCCCAAACCAGCACCGCTTTTCCCTTCCTCAGCCACCTTGGCTGGAATCCAGGACCCCAAAATCCCAGGCTTTCCCAAGTTTTGAGGGTTTATGGGGTTAGGAAATCCCTGTTTTCCTTCCAACAGCACAATAAAGAAGTTTTATGGATAAATGTAGGAAAACTCCAGCCCTCCTCAACCACCTGCTCATCGGAAGCACTGCTAGCAGAGCAATGCAGGGAACAGAAGGGATGGGAGGGCTCCAAAAAATAAAGAAGGATCAAATTCCAGGTGCTTGGAAGATGAAATCACCCTTGCAGCAGATGGCAAGAGGGAAAGAGGTGGGGGGAAAAGCTTCAGGGTGGGAAATATAGTGAGAGGGAGCAGAAAGCAAGGAAAAGGAAAAATAGGGAAAAATATGAAAARTGGGGATAGGAGCTAAAAGAAAAGGAACTCGGAGGGGTCATAAACACAGCCCTAAACTGTAACCACCAAAAATCCTGGTAAAGGAAAAAAAAAAAAAAAATCAGGAAAATGAGGACCTAAAAGAAAATGAGCTCAGAAGAGCCACAAACAAAGCCCTAAAATCTGACTCTTGGAAGACACCAGAAATCCTGGAGAAAATAAATTCAAAAATCAAAGTAAAGGGAAAGTGCACACCTAAACGAAAATGAGACACAGCCCTAAAATGGGACCCATGGAGGCCACCAGAAATCCTGGAGAAGAGGAAAAAAAAACCTTCAAAATAAAGGGAAAATGGGGATAGGACCTAAAAGAAAGCTCAGCGAGGACAAAAAAAGAGCCCTAAAATATGGCCTGTGAAGGCCACCAGAAGTCCTGGAGAAGGAAAAAAAAAATCCAAATATAGGGAAAATAGGGACCTAAAAGAAAATGAGCTCAAAGTGGACACAGACATAGCCCTAAAGTGTGACCCACGGAGGACACCAGAAAATAAAAAAAATCAAATATACGGAAAATGGGAATAGGGCCTAAAAGAAAATGAGCTCAGAGAGGACACAAACAAAGCCCTAACACCCATGGAGGCCATGAGAAAATCTGGAGAAAGGAAAAAAAATAATCAAAATATGGGAAAACGGGGATAGGACCTAAAAGAAAATGAGCTCAGAGGGGCCCCAAACAGGGCCCTAAAAACTGACTCTTGGAAGGTACCAAAACCCTGGAGAAAGGAAAAAAAAAATATATATATATAGGGAAAATTGGGATGGGACCTAAAAGAAAATTACTTCTCAGGGGACACAAACAGACCCCTAAAATGGGCCCTATGGAAGCCATGAGAAGCCCTGGGGAAAGGAGAAAAAAAATTAAAATAGAAGAAAAATGAGAATGGGACCTAAAAAAACATGGTTTTTTTGTGTCAGAGGTGACACAAACAGAGCCCTAAAATCTGACTCTTGGAGACTGTCAGAAATTCCATCCCCTTGTTTTTATATTTATTTTCCAAGCTGGAATCACCTGCTCCTGACCACACAAGGCATCCCAAAACCCATCCCAGCCTTATCCAGGGCTTGCCAAGCACTGAGGTTCTCCTTCTAAAACCTGACCTCCCGAAGTTTGCCTTCCCAAGGCTTTTAAGAGAGGCCAAAACCACACAGGGAGTTTTCCTGAAAGCTGCTGGGTAAACTCATTAATGGAAGAAAAAAAGAACCCTGAGTTAATTACAGGTTAGTTAYGTCCACATAAACTTTCGTTCCCTGGGAATACGCCTGCTCTTGGATTCACAATCCTTCAGAAATCACGTTGGGAAATTCAGAAACAGAATGACTTTCTAAAGTCAGTCCTGCCTGAAAATGCCTGATGGTTGCACTGGGAATACTGGGAACACGGGCAGCCTTGTGGGGTTTCAAGGCTGCTCCTTGAATTTTATTCATCCTGTAGAGTTTGCAGATATTTGGGATCATGTTTGTCGGAGGAATGGAAAGAGGGGGAAAAAGGAAAAGCATCTCTGGCTTTTTAGACCAAGAGGATAAATTGTTAATGTGGGAAAAACAAAATACAGTGGGAATGCGCTGGGATTTGCACTCTCCAGCACCAGGCAAAGATCATGGAATAGTTTGTGTTGGAATGGATCATCTCGTTCCATCCCTGCCATGGGAATATCTTCCACTATTCCAGGTTGCTCCAAGCCTCATCCAACCCAGCCTTGGACACTTCCAGGGATGGAGCAYGAGCAAGGAAAGCAGTGCAGACCGAATTCCCGAGGAAGGGATGTTGTCAGGATGAGGACAATCCCAACTTTCTCCTTAGGAAGGGACAGAGTCACCTCTATCCTGATGCTCCCCATCGGTGCCAGTTTGGGCCAACACCAAAATGTGATGGATTCAAT